AAACTGAATCAACTGCCTGCACACGCTACTTGAGAGGGTCCTTACCCGAGTGATATACCACGGCACGCTCTCGCCTCTATTCCATAGAACGAATGCATCCTACAAGGCTCAATCATCGGTCCCCAGCCCTTTATCATCTACATGGATTCCTTAGCTGTCACGCTAGCACAATTCCTGCCCAAGTTCCTCCGCTCTTATTTATTTGTTGACGGCACACGGATTCAAGCCCCCCAACCGGTTCCGCTCCAGCCCTTCTAAGACGACATTGATGCGTGGGGACGCAAATCTGGCCTTGAACAGGGTGTCATCAAACCCCGAGTACGATCTACCGACTTACGACACGCGGCACCAATTCCCCATATAAATGGTGAGCTTATCACGCCGACGCTCGCAGACGTACCTTGGAACATACGTTACCTCCCCCTGAAGATGGCCCACACATGCCAAGCCTAAACTATCCAAATATCTGGGGTTCCCACTCTCTCACGGAATACCAGGGATCAACCTCGCCAGACATATCCCTGGTTGCAGCATTGTCCCTGGGTATCGCCTCTTTCCGCGCTTATTGCTTCCATGGCTTCAGCTGGCGACACACCCGCAACTGACTGATGCTGTTCAAAACATTCATCCTATCCACGGCTATATATGCCCTGAGCATTATTGCCTAGGCTCCGCCTATATGAAAGGATGCGCGGGACCCCCTGTTCGAGCGCTATAAGCTATAACTCAGCACTCATCCAAGCAGCAGCCATCATCACGGGCACTAAATATCCTAGGTTTCTCAAACGTCAAACAAACTTACTCCACTTTTGTGGCCTGTTCCCCGCGCTTGGAATACAACTCGACTCAATGGCCAGCACAAATCCACTCACCCCTCTGACGCAGCCCGCCTAGGTCCACGACAAACCATCGCTGCGCTTCCCGTACAGTATTTATGCTCACCTGAAAACTGTACACAAAACCACGGGCGGGCGTACACCCGACCATGTACCCCTCCGCCAACGCTGTGACGACATCAGGAAGAACTCAACAAAACGCTGGTCCAACAAGGAGATCGCGGCAATGGCCCGGCGCCAATATTACTACCAACTGGTTATGGGTAAACCGCCAACCTCAAACCGAGACAAAGCCAGAAACGACAGCTTCAACCGCTGCCTCGAGCCTACACCAATCCGGCTCTGTGCTATGATTATAACGAATATGTTCATGTTCACATTGCTCGACTACCGCACCGACGGCTGTTGCTGCCCTGCCTACCCCCGGGCCACAAATTTACCACCAGGCACTTTACCTGCATCCAACAGTTGATTCGACGCACCCTGGTAGGCCCAAAACTGCCGCCCATTAGCCCTGACCTCCTCCAGCAATTACAGGAGCGTCACGACTTCCACGGTATCTGAACCCTCCACGAGCACCTTAGATCCTTTCTAGAGCATGTAGAACAACCACCGTACCCTCGCCCGTTTCTGACACATCAACAGATGTTCCCCATACCTCGGCTGATCACACCGTTGAAGTACTACTTTCAAATTTCGGTCCACCCCAAGTCATCGCACTTATTGGTTCCGCCTATGACACTTACGATCCAAGCCAGCCAGCACTTATCGAGTGTATCCGTGGTCTGGTGCGGCATTGGCTCGCCCCCGACCTCGGTCCTCGACCGAATTATGACGGATAACCTGGTCCTACTCGATATTTTGTACTCTGCACTATCCCATTCCACGGCACTACATCGTGCAGACCCGATCCGTAGCACAGAGGTGGGTACGCTATTTAGTAGGTCAGCAAGCGATTACATGGCACACTCGATGGTGTCAGTTTGTTGTCAGCACCGGCCTGAATTGACCCAGCGCATATCCTCCATCGTCGATTCACTTGGCCCAAGCTTCAAACGTAATTCACTGACTACTTCTTCCCATCGATCTTTCCCCAACCACTGCAACGACTATGAGAGCCATACCATATCTGCATATATTGTATCTTATCTCTTTTGAAATAAATAATATTATCGCTATCGGGGAGTTAGACGTTGGGCTAACAGCCGCAGAACGTGGCAAAGACATCGGGAGAGTACGTAGAAAGTGCGATGGAGCAAGATGTCGATGGCGGGAGTCGACAGAGGAGCAAAGCAGCTCGACAAGAGCAGACGGGAGCAATGTTACACATGCAGAGTACATACTCTAATATTAAGTCTGACAGGGAGTCAAGGGACACAATGTTAAAGGCCTAAGGACAGACGAACATCGGATGGTTTTGATGATGGCATCGATTATTCTAAAGGGATTCCTAGAGTATCTTAATCGGTGGTGAGTAACTATAACGGTGTCGCGGGTCCTTATACTTCGGTATGTAAGTCGGCTAATACGAACGTTTTGGATTCACAACGGATATTCGGTTCTTTAGACATTTGAATTCTACAACAATGACCAATCCTCGACAGAGCCGTCGCCAGCAGCACTTTGCACCTGAACGTAGCGTACACGATGATATCGATCAACGTGGTACGAAGTATCACCGCTCCAGTAAAGGACCTAACCAACCCCAGACAGCAGAGAACAGGACGCACACTTTCGTGCGAACCAAGCAGTCGTACACCGGGCATTTATAGCCCGCGGACAAGAACAACAACCTATCGTTACACCCATTCAGCAACAGGAAAAAGTCCGTGAACCAGAGAGGGTAGTAACCTCTAACCTGCGTGCGGACCAAGGGCAGACCGACACTCGTGAATATGTAGCGAGTGCCGGTTGTCTCCCAGTTCGTCTTCAGAGCATTCCAGCGTATCATCTTGACTCGTGATAGCTACACAATCCTACCACCAATGAAGCGCAGACACGTCACTATATACGAGGGGAGGGGTGTGACCAGAGTTCACCACAACATTTGTAGAGTGCAATGTGGGGGACTAAAAATAAAGTACAAATGTATCTATAAAATGGTGCGTTCGAATGATTTTATTTATGTTCTCGCCCTCAGTTATATACTGATGGTGTTTGTACTAGTTTTCAACCACTTGGGTTGGCAAGGGTAAAACCCCATATGATCAGTATGAGAAATCTTATGCAGAACACTTTAGTACTCTGATATACTTCTAGAAATAAATATATCACATTCTCTGTTACGTACTCTCAGTCTCGGACCTCGGTTCTCGGCTAGCCGGTGACCAGTATCCTATAAATAGAATAATCTGAGAAGTTGTCTCAAATTACTCTTAACATCCTCTCGGGCTGACCCACCTATACATATATAAATTTGAGAACAAGTCCCAAATTACTTGCGGGCCGATGGCGGAAAACGATAATAACGTATTTAGCGTCTACTTCTGTAGTCTCTCAACAGCTGGCTGAACTAACAGCCAAACAGCAATCCCTGTTCGACAAAAATGAATAATGTTTAAAACAGTATCACACCCGAGCAGTCTAACGGGTCCGAAGAAAAGAACGTATCGTCTCAGCGTCGTCGTTCGACCGACAAGGTCAACAACCCAGAATTTCGTATCCGAGGTCACGGATAACATCATGACCTGGGGTATGAGTCATCAGAGTGGGATGACCCAGCAACACTGAGTGATACACCATCTATCGAGGAATTCGCACACGAGCAACTACTTGCAAAGAAGAACCCGCACGGGGCAGAAGTTTTAAAGAACGTCCACGACCGGTTGGGTATCAACTTTTGTAAGCAACAGCAGAAGAAGATTTACGAGCAGGACGCCTCATGTGCGACCGTGTATACACCAGAAAAGGAGTCGCCAGAACTACCAACACCTTCACCGACACCGGCAAGCATTGAAGCAAGCCGCCAAGTGCTTCACGCACGCATACTTAAGTTATCGGATGAACTGTGCCAGACGATAGTAGACGACAACACAGCTCGTGTCGACGCCCTTTGAGGAGTGTTGGAGACACTACGTGTAACGTTAGAATCCAAACCAGCTGACAAACACGAGGTCTCAGCACCACTCAATTGCCCTGACTGGCCTTCTAATCGCTACCATTTGAATGATGTCGTGGAGCGGGACACAAAGGGAGCCCTCCTCGAAGCGTTGAAGAACGCACATATCGCAGGCCTTGATGAGATATGGAATCTAACATGGTTCGACAAGGTTATGGTTCATTTCAATGCCGAAAAATTCACGCTCGATTGCATTAGGGATAGCACGGAGCAGTTCAAGCGTGGACATTTGAGCTACAGATCACACAAATATTCTCACATGAGACACAAGCGATCATAGATCCGGCCTTCCGCAAGCTAGCTAAAGGTCACAGTAAGCTAGCGCACCTGCCAGTCATGGAACAGATGACCACCGAAGAGCGCGTGAACGTTGTCAAACAGACGCTGACTTTGTATCCAACAAAGTCATCTAAATCACTGTGTAGTACAGTTGTTAAAGGAGATGCTCAACGCTCGCACTTACGAGCGCACACTCCAACTACACCCCAAGTGACATTTGATGCCGGCCCATGAATTACTACAGCTGTTGAGCCCGGACATACAGGAGGCACAACAACGGCCATCAGCACGTTCCCTCGGTCACCAACAACATCACACAGAGAATACACCACGGGACTATACCAATAGTCGTCCAAACTCCCAGACAGCGCAACGGCAGAATCAGAACTGGGCGCAGCATCCTCAGGTCGCGGCGCCTACAACGTGTGTAGGTTGTCAGACACAAGTACCACCCGGCCCACGTCACATTGTTCGATGCCACCATCATAGAACAATGCAACAAGGGGGCCACTGACCACCGTACACGCCAGAACGAACAAGGTCGTCCTTTCCGCACGACAACAACAGTCCCGCCGGTACAAGGACAAGGCGGCAACCTGAGCAGACAGCCACCAGCGAACATACCTGCTACACAAACCACAGGTAAGCACGACCAAGAAGAAGGAATCGATCCACCTCCCGTGGCTACCGAGATGCACATAGACGCCATAATCACCCCTGACTTTCATAACGAGGAACACCCAGCACGAGTTACGACACCGCAGGGCCGGGACTCAGTGACAGGTGATAATTGAGAAGTGAGGGTGTCTGATGCGGATGTAGCATTATCGTTTGTACACACTATTAATAAAGTGATGGCGATTAACGACCCACTACTATCATCCAATAACCGCGTTTACATCCAACTGCAACTGATCGGACGCACGTTCAGGGCGTTAATAGACACGGGTTCAAATAGAAGCTGCATCTGTAGGACATCCGCGAACTTACTTGGCCGTCCAATTACTCCAGCACCACCTTGGTCGTTCATATATTTAGCTGACAAGGCGGTACGCACTCCGCGACTGGGGACGACGGAAGTATAACCGATACGGTATGGTACGAAGAGTATCAAAGAGTCGTTCTGTGCTTACGGGCATGGTCATTATCTTAGGACAGGATATGATGACGGGTCTAGGGTTGTACATAGGCGGTATTCAATCACCTTTCGCTCCAGCGACCCCACGGAGCTTGATAAATTGCTGTAACCAATACCACGTCGGCAGTCACCGAACACAACGAAGCAGGTGGACGCTCGACAACGGTTGACTACTGAGTTAGAAGTTAGAGGTGAACGTAGCGATTCCAGACAACGCACGATGTTGCCTCGAGGGGAGTGAGGTCATGATACCAGTTACGCGAGAACAAGCCATGAGTATGCGTAGATCCAATTTCGTATCAGGAGCAAGTACAGAAGTGATTGTAGGACTTAGTGTACAAAGCGAACTACACCAACAACAGTTAATCTACCACTGCTTGCCGTACTTACATTTGATAGTGAAGGCAACGTTAAGAAGGTGTGGGTGTGTATAGACATGCGTGCGGTAAATGCACTCATTCCCGGTGACCAATACTTGATTCCGAAAATTAACGAACTTTTCCTGACTGAAGAGCAAGAGGTACTACACAACTCTGGACATCTCGGCGGCCTACCACAGACTCCCAATCATCCGGATCCACGGTATCTGTTGAGCTTCTCCTTCACACATGAACGTTACCAGTATTATTTTACGTCGGCACCATTTGACCTACATGTACTGACACAGCAGTTCCAGCGTACATTAAGTACGATCCTGAACGGACTACCAGTACATCACTACATCAATGATTTAGTGATTGCCAGTGATGATTACGATGAACACATCCGTACAGTAATGAAAGTCATGAGCGTCTTACGTACCATAGTTTTAAACTGAACCCAGCCAAGTACCACTTCGCAATTGCGGAGGTAATGATACTGGCAAGAGGGTATCAGCGCAAGGCATCGATGTGGATCGTGAGAAACAGGCAAAGCTGCTAGATTGGTCAAGCCCACAACTTTACAAGGACATAGCGTCAGCGTTAGACATAGCAAACAATCTCCACGAGCACCTCCCCAACTTTGCCCATATCGTAGCACCGCTACGGGAGTTCTATAAACTCAAACCGATTGAGTTAATTGGTGAACGATGGTGGGAACAATAACATGCCAACGCGTGGCAGGCAATGAAGGAGGAGGTGGTAAATGCAGTGGCATTACATTTGCCGATAAAAGGAGTAGCACTGAATTTAAAGACCGACGCTAGTGATTACGGTATAGGCGGAGGATTGTTCCAATGGGTCGACAGCAAGGAACACTATTTGATGTTCTTCAGCAAGACATTAAACCATGCACAGCATAACTACACTATACCAATGAAGGAACTGTTTGCACTCGTGTATGGACTGAAGCACTTCCGAGACCATCTGGACGGGCAACGGTTTACGGTCTTTACAGATCATAAAGCGCTATTGTACATGAATACACAAGCTCAACCCGATGCTACAGCGATGACACCACATCATCGCGCCGTTCAACTTCACGATTTCTCACATCCCGGGGGAGAAGAATATCCTACCAGATATGTTGAGTAGGGTGCATGAGGATACGGCATAGAGTGATGAACCCGAGATACTGTACACACATTGTTGGAAGCTGTTTCCTAGATACTTTGAACAAGCACAACAGATCTTGGTCCGAACAATGTAGACGTGTTTGCGGACCCACAGAACACACAACTGCCTCGATTCTGGACCACGAATGACAAGGAAGGGGCGTTTAAGCACGACTGGTCGTTAGTGGATGAATGGATGAACCCACCTTAGAAATTGATACACAAGATGCTTAGGAAAATCAAGACAGAGGGGGCATCCGCCACAGTATGTCCACCTTGGGTACCACGGGCGCCATAAATTGACTTAGTCAAGCAGCTACTTCAAGCTGAACCGGTAGTGGTGTTTAGAACACCACATATATTCCTGAAATTTGGAAGTAAGCTTGCGGCAAGACACCTTGGGGTCGTACAATGATAGCGAGACTAAGCCTATTTAATAATTTCAAGCTGGACCCCCTCTTCTCACAGCGACTGGGCTACACAAAGCCACGCCATATAACGTATGCAAAATGCTTAGACACTGCACGAGAGATATTGGTCGCCATGGCTGAAGCCGAAGGTCAACCGGCATTCGCACAAGCAACGCCGGAGGAACAGCTTCGACGCACATCACTCACACGAGCGCAGCACGAGCAAGGCCTACTGTTCAACAGCTACGCAACGATGGACATGTGTGGCCGGGCGCACTAGAACTGGCGGCGACAGATAAGTGACAACGCAGTACATGTTTAGGTCAGGGTACATTACGTGAGGACTTCCACCCGATGATTAGCATCGATGCACGCTACATCCCTATGCCGATCGAATCACGGAGGAAGTACATTCTTCATGTGCTAGACATTGCCACTGGCTATTCAATCCTGCGAGCAACACCGAACAAGACAAAGGAAACCACGGTACAGACAATGTTAGAGATTTTTGGTGAACACGGTTTTTCACAAAGGCTACAAACGGACATGGTAGCAGAGTTTACAACAAGGTAGTGGAAATCCTGGTGCAGGAAGTGGGCATACTACACAAGGTATCACCCCCATATCGCCCAAAGTTCTTAGGGGCAGTTGAGCGTCATCATAAGGTTATTACACGATCAATACGCAAAGGCTGTGAGGCGGTGGCACTTCAATGGGATGAACGCCTTCCGTTCACGATGCTCACCAGAACCTCCGATTTTCTCGGAGACATAAGAGTGCACCCTTTAGCTTGTACTTCGGACGCGGGCATGTGCTGTTTGCCGACTTTACCGATGTGGCACCTGAATCACAACCAGTGACTTAACGACACATGGGCGCAACGATTAGACCAGTTGCAGGATACCATCTTACCAACGCTTCACCATATTACCTAGAGGTATACGGGCTAATTATCGAAGACCTTCGACCGTCTTCATGCCCACGACTTTGTACAGTTCGATAAATGCGACGTAGTGATGGGGCGCTCGGAAGGTAGAACGCCGAAAGCAATATGTCCTCTCTTTGGCCCGTATGTTTTCAAGAATAGAATCGGGCAACGCTATGAGATAGCAAGCAAAGACGGGTCAGTGCCATCAGAATTTAAGGACAAACCAGTCCGTATTGAACTCCGGTTAGTCCATCGTAGTACAGACCCACCACTTGACGATACCTTGTGGGCAGAAGGTGGAGTTGAGTTCTGCCACGTTATCAAGCATCGCGCAAACGATGAGACAGGCAGCCTTGAATACTTGGTGCGATGGCGCGAAGGCGACCCCACGTGGGAGACAGCCGAGGCCTTTACCGACCCCAACGACATTGTCGCCTACCACAATGACTCGTACGCGCAAACGACGCCGTGACCAGATTTAAATTTTTACCTTTGCATAGATACATATATGTTTTGAACGACGGTGCGCTCGAGACGTATACTTCGGGCCCTCTAACTCTCTGAGGTTAAATGCCAGCACACTGCTCTAGCTCTCTGAGAATAAATGCCAGCATGTCGGTCAGGGTCTGAGTATTATTTTCCTTTTCTCTAAAAGTTGGCACACTAGTAGGTGGTGCTTTAGCTGGGCGAGGTTGTGGTCGGAATACGCCCAGACAGGGTTATTAGTGTTATTTTAATTTAGGTTACTTTAGTTTATAATATCAGAATCTGTAATCTTAGGATGTGGTTTTAGATAGGCACATGACTCAAAAGTAGTTAGTTAGGGATTAATGTATAAAAGAACAACGTCTCCCTTTGAACAGAAGGATAACGTTGAGATACTGTTATTCGACGTTTACTACAGATGTACTTTCGAAAAGTATTGTGCTCCTTGCAGGTTGTGTAATACTTCCTTTAGTTTTGCTTTCACAAATTTGTCTTGTTCGGATTGATATCTATTTTTGTTTTTGCAAGTCTAGGCATGTTTGCACTCTCTTAAGTAGACTTAGTTGGTTGTGTTTGCTTTGTAGATAACAACGGCAAGTTCACTGTAGTTTGTTTTGTAGGTTTGTATATGTGACCGTCTTTGAGCTATGTATACACCTTTTCATCCATTTGTAGAATTTACTTGTGTGATACACAGTTCACTTTTGCATGCCTTATTTGTCTGACAGTTGATTTCATATTGGAGCCGGGCAGGTTGTAATGAACGTCTGAAGGCATGTTTCCAAAAGGTCTGCAAGTGACTCTCTAAACCCTTCTTGTTCGTGCTCTGGGTCTTTCTCATGTGGTGTAAGCAGTGATTCCAATTTTGCATATGTTGGTACAAATGTATTTATTAATCCCGTTTTATATATACCTATGCATGGAAGTATATTCACACCTAAGAGTAACGGTGACTCCTTGTCTGATAGATCCAGTACTTCGAAACACTGTCTTTCACCCTTTATAGTGTTGATCCTGTTCGTTAGATTATGGTTCTGGCACCTGTTTTGCTATTTGTATGTAGCCAGGTTGTGCTTCGACTGATAGTTATAGTTCGGTTACGATAATTTGCTCATACACGAGCGCTGTGCTTCTGAATTTTCGAATGCCTTGTATGTAATACCATTGATTTGTATGTCGATGTGTAAGCTTAGGTCACGTGGTTTGGGAAGCAAGGATAAAGGTTGGTAATCATATCATTCGCATTTTTTAACAACGTTTCTTCATCTGTACTTATGTTTAGCTTGTCAGCCAGGTCAATCATGTTTGCTTCCACTCACCAGTTGTTTCAGTACATATCGCTATCTGTTAGTTCTTTTACTTTTCCTGTGACAATTGAGAGTCGTGCTAAGTGCACGTCATTCGTGGCGCGTTCTTCAGCCTTCTCAGCCTGCACTGTGACCTTCTTGGGACAATGGCTAAAGCGGTGGGGTGCCGGTGGCACTTTGCAGTAAGGGTAGGCTGTTGCTTCTCGCGGCCCATCTTCTCTTGGGTTTGCTGTCGTTCACCCATTGAATTGTATTGTCTTGCCGCCCCACTGCCTGTTTAAGGACGTTTGAAGCCAAGGCACAGGCAGACTGATTGCTCGGGGAACGTACACCATAACACATCCAACACGGCCTCACGCAGCTATACACACAGTACTGCCCACCAGCCCACAAACGTCCTTAAACAGGCAGTGGGGCGGCAAGACAATACAATTCAATGGGTGAACGACAGCAAACCCAAGAGAAGATGGGCCGCGAGAAGCAACAGCCTACCCTTACTGCAAAGTACTTCTTTTACTTTTCCTGTGACAATTGAGAGTTGTGCTAAGTGCACGTCATTCGTGGCGCGTTCTTTAGCCTTCTCCGCCTGCACTGTGACCTTCTTGGGATAATGGTCCTGTGTATGCGTTCTGTGTGTGCTTATACATTCAATGCTTTGTTCTCCATGTCGATAAGGTGGCTCTTTAATAGTTTACAAGATGGTGTCTTAGTCTGTCAACGATGATTCTATTGAACTGCTCTGGGTCGATGTAGAACCGTGTGAAATGTGTCTCCTAGACACCTATATCATTGAGTACCCCTTTGGTTTTCTCTGTTGCGTCTGCAGAGTCTGACATGTTTCTTACTTTGTTTGTGTCGGTCGTTCTATATTAAGCTCTTGCTGTTCCATTTGAATTTGTTAGATACCTTATGCAGATTCCCATCAATATTTAGGTTTCTTTCATACAGGAAGTAAAAGCTTTTATATTGGGTTATTTTTATGGAGGGTTACTTTACATTATATTTTGTACCTACTGAGTGTATTTTACTATCTTTTATGTTTGTTGAGTCGATGGTCAACACTTTAGCGTCCCATTTGAATTTGTTAGTTGCTTGTATCCAGAATGTGCGATTTAGTGTTTAGGGTTTAGGAGTTTTAAATTTAAGAACACTAAAACCCTAAAACCGTAAACCCTAAAACATATAGGAGGGGCAGGCTTTGCACTCCACCACTCGAGAGGAAAACCTTCGAGTAGCCCAAGGGATCCATCATCCCTCCGCAGGAGGATATAGTCTACCATTCCACTCTACCACTCCAGGGTGATAGACCTATGCTATATGCCCGGTCACCTCACACTAACATTTAGATCGAGGTTGAACTTCCCTCGGGAAAGTTGCAAGATGGTAGCTACGACCTACGAAGCGTAAACCCCTACGGGCTCCCGAGGGACTCCCCCCCCCCCCGAAAGGAAGGGATGCTACTGCCCCAAATACAGTTGTGACCTCGATTAAATTTATATTGGACTTTAACTATATATTCGTTTGTTGTGTTTGTTATAGGAATATAGTATTTGGGTTCAGACACAGTTCTTGGGTATTATAGAATTTGGCTTTTTGAATTTTCTAGTACTATGATGCTACAGCCCCCTCCCCCACACACCCCCCTTTAAAAAATCGTGCTTGCGAGATGGCAGAAAATAAGTGACATATTTCTCTCAGCTAGGAAAGGTCCTAGTCTGGGAGGAGCCACACTGGTTCTTTATTTATGATTTGTATTATTTAATTCAAAGACTCATATTTTCACATGAGTGTTTCTCTCACGAGGGAGCCCGGGTAAAAAGCCGGTGTTCCCGCCATATTTCTGATGACTCTATTATCAGGAATATAAATTAGAAGAGGTCTATTGTTTCCTATAGCCGTATCTTCCAGCTATACTCATAACTTTCAACAAATCAGCGCGTTTAGCTCGAAAGATGATCTCCTTACGAAACGTCGCTGATTGCGAGTTGTGATGCGAAACTATGGAGCTGCACCTGAATAACACGGAGACTACACGGTATCAAGTGGATACCATCATTTTGTAATTTGGGCTCTTGGCATAATTATACCAAACCAAAATCGGTCCGGCGCGTGGCGCTTTACTAAAAAGCCTTGTTTGATAATCTCACATATGTCCTTTCGCGACGCCAAAGTGGCGATACACCAACCTTTGCTCGCATCAGTCGTAAGTTAGGAGCTCAATATGCAGCTGATACTTCTGTCAATTTACCAAGGCGCGTGTCATTTCGTGTACAGCTCGAGATTTTTTTGCTAACCAAAAGTGGTCAAATAACATCTGCCTAATTGTAAGGTCGAAGTAACTATATTAATAAAGTAGTCCTGTACTGGTTTATTGTGTTGATGTTATTTTTCCACTTTTGATTAGCAAAAGGGAAACTAAATTTCAGGCGGCCAGGTTAAATACCAGTTCAGAATCGGAATGTATTCCTGGCTTATTACGCCCATGCTGGCAGGGACTATTGACAACAAATTATAGTTTGTTGATTTGAAATATCTTTAGTTCAGTACTTGGGCTGGGTAGATCTTGCATCAGATGGGATGGCGATCGTCGCTCGGTCATCTTTCCTCAAAATTTACTCCTTTAGAAATCGACTCCGGAGAGATGTAACTTTTACATTATGTTGGGAACGATTTGCTACACTTTGTTCAATCTCATCCCGTGGCAATAGTTCTTTCATCTGGATGATTGCCAGAAATTTGCATGCTAATTTGTTCGAAGCAACTGAGATATCACATCGGATATACTGCGACTGTTAAGGGACGTACCCAGCAATTCGCCTCATGTAACCGCAGCGAAGAATAGGATACAAGATATGGCTAATCGGGCATTTCCAATGCGACATAGGTTGAAAATTCCCTTGGTATCATATCTACTCTGACAATTGCAGTACTCTCATACTAGTCAAATTTCGGTTCATTACCTGCCGATCGTTGAGAAGCTCACTATGAGTAGCTTGAACTTTTGTGGAGAGTACCACTTATATTAAATGCTTCTACTAAATCTAAATAGCTAATAATCATACTAGAATTTCATTTTTATTATTGTAATGTTGCAGCTATGCGTTTTAAAGGCCCCTCTTGTTGAATTAATTCCTCATATTTTCCTGCCTGCACCACTTGGCCCGAATCCATTACAGCCACCATATCAGCCGCTTTCAAAACCTGTGTGGGGGGATAATACGTCAGTAACAACAAATTCGAATCCGATCGCAATAGGGGTTTATCAACTATTGGCCTGGCTTGGCAACTAGTGGAGTTGTCTGATGTCCCTTGTACACTTTGATGTGCAAGGTTGTGCAAGCCACTCCGTGAGTCCAAAATTAAGCAACGCAAAATACCGGAACCGCGCAAGTAAGTGTGCAGATTTCGTGACATGGACATTGTTCATTTAGGCCTTCAGAGGTTGTAAAATCAAAATGGAGACAGTCAAGACTTTTAAAGCAAACAGAGACTTTCGAAATAATATTCTTACGTTGAGGTGGTGCGTGAACACGATCGCGGTCCGGCCTTTCATGACCTTTTGTAGTGCTTCCACGACTAGTTGCTCGGATTCAGCATCGAGCGCGCTAGTGGCCTATATTTGGATAAGCAAAGGAAAATGAATCTAGGTTCAGATGTTTGTGCAAAAATCGCCACATCGCCAGATAATCAGTAGTATACAATATAGCGTATGGCCAAACCGCAGTCAGGTTCACCCCAGGCTTTGAAATTTTCATAATAGCTTGATACGAGGCAGCAAGACTGAAGAATATATTGTGTTAGCCGCATTGTTGCGAAATATGATCACATAGGGTAATAATTACCTCGTCCATGATATATATCGGCGAGTCCTTGATCACGGCTCTGGCTATACAAACTCTCTGCATTTGTCCTCCGCTTAGAGCCTTCCCCCTCTCACCACACTGCGTGTCGTAACCCTATAAGGAATCCAAAACCAACGTGAAGAAGTGTTCATTTACAATTCAGAGCGCCAAATATACATCGTGAAATCAGCCTATATAGCATTTCAAGTTCACCGAACAGTGTTTGTGGGATGCGGTATTATGTTTCTTTTTTTAGACGAATGCGCGCAATTGCGAAGGTACTCACAATATCATTGCATGCGCTCAATATACGATCACGAGTGAGATTGCGAGGAAACTTAAGTACAATTTTACCGGAATAATAAAATTTTGAATGCGAGGTTTTACAGTATATCGTAAATAATTTGTTTCAGAGAACATGTTTTGTAAACTATCGAAGTATAGCCTAAATTTGGCACTATAATTTCGGAATAGATTGAACGATATTGGCGGGAAGGCCAATGCAAAATGCGAAAGGACTAAAACAGCTTTACAGACAAAATTTGGTCTCTGACTTTGAAAATAGGGACTCTAAAGTATATTCATAAAGTAACAAATACTGACATACGTTTGGCAGCTTTTGGATGAAGCCATGTGCATTTGCTGTCTTGGCTGCTTCATAAATTTGTTCGTCCGTTGCGTCCGGATTCCCATACTTAATGTTCTCTTTCACAGTGCCAGAGAACAGCAACGGCATTTGTGTCACTTCCGCAATGTTCTGTAGTGCAATAAATAAATAAATTGAATCAGACGATTTAGTTGCACGATTCCAACGATTTCCACCAACGGGGACATATATATAACCAAGTATAATCGATCACAAACAATGCGAATCGGGTTCAACCTTCCAAACGTGGCGCGTATACTATATATACATCCTCTGCCATCAGGTATCGGATACCAACATACCGTTCGCAAAAAGCCAAGAGGGAGTTTGCTTGCTTCATAACCGCCAATGGTGACAGAGCCCTCATCGACATCGTAATATTGTCCTAATAGTAGTCCCAATGTTGATTTGCCACTCCCTGACCCGCCACATATAGCGAGTGTATGGCCGGCTTGCAAAGAGAGCGACACATTCTTCAGCACCTGATATTGGAGTATACATATACACAGAAGCCTTAACGTGAGGACATCGCGCTGGAAACATTCCTCATCGCAAAATTAAGACGTGAATGCACACATAGAGCATTTTAATATACCAATGTCAGCAGATCAAGCCTAATATGTATATGATGAGGCGTATTTATAGATACATTGAAGTATTTGCTAGCACCTTTCTTGTGCGCGATTGCTTTACCTGAATGTCCGGCCGTGTAGGGTATGCAAAGTTTACATTCTTCAATTCAATATCGGGAGAGAAATTGGTCATGTCTGGCATGATTGCGCCCTCGGGATCCTTCATGGGATATATATGCCTAAGGGTAAACAAAGGAAATAAACAGATTAGTGAGGAGTTTAACTGATATTTCTGATAAAAGGCTTTCAGTGTGATCGAACGCAGTGAATGGGCACTAATAAACGGATGCTCGGTAATACCGCGATAATGTATTTCGGCAGTCCATTTTCTGATCTACAATCCTATATACGAGAGGAAAAAGGGAATACAAATGACACAAAGTACGAGTCTTCACACGGAGGAGCAGATTCAATAGCGCCGCGCATTAAATACGCCAACAAAACAAACAGAGATATGACTCCCCCACCCCCCATGTCGATTGCTTCAATCACCGTTAAGAATTTGGCAGCCTCACCTGTTTAGGTTAGAAGTGTCGATGACACTGAATACTCGTCTGGCAGCCCCCTGTGCTTTCAGGAACTCACTCATAGCCACAGACACCTGCCCTACACTGACGAAGAGATAGCCAGTGTACATGCAGAAGCTCGTGAGCTGGCCCACACTCAGCGCATCTTGAACCATGAGAGAGCCTCCATAGTACAATACGCCCAGAAGTGTGCACTGTGCAACGGCAAAACCACCGGCTAAAAAGGCACCCTCCGCGTACCCGACCTGCAGTAGAGCGTGAGTAGACGAGAGTCAATTTTGTGACCACCTTCATTCTCGTTGTTTCAAGTGGTAAAACTCCTCCCCCTCCCCTGTGTCTAAAATTACTTTTAAGCTAAGCAGAAAACGCATAAACCCGCGCATAACCTGGAGGACGAGAAAATTCATCCAGGTGATTTCACACTGATTCCCATTCACACACCGTTTTCGCTAAGCCGAATGACCTGTCCACCGCCCTCTTATATCTTTCGACCTCGGCAGGTTCAGCAGTGAAGGAGTGTACCGTTCGGATGCCCTGCAGTCGTTCCATGGACACCTGAAGATACATACGCGTGGTAAATCGACAATAAAACTCTTTCAGAGGGAGTGGGCTATGCGGGCCAATGGCGGCCTTCAAAGAAGAAAATAGACTAGCATGTCAGCGCGCAACCAGTCAGGACATTATTTCACAAGTAAACGTATGCTGATATAGAAGCATACTGCCTCACTTACTATGCTACGGGATCTCGATGTATACAACTAAGAGACGAAAGGTCAGCGATTGACAACCGAATATACACACACACACAAGCAGACGATAAAACAGATATAATCGACAACCGTATACCGCACAGACCTGATTCTCCTTTGCGTACCGTGTGAGCAGTATTTGGGCGAGTTTTTTTCTGTACTCGCCATAAGTATACGCTGCCACACCAAACACGGGCAGTACAAGCAAGGTCACACCCGTGAGTTGAGGAGAAATGCTCAATAAGAACCCAGTTGAGGTGAACACAGCGGTGCCAGCCTTTATACAACGCGCAACATTATCCGTCAGCGTGGAGGCTACCATCGACGTATCAGTACTTAATCTGTACACGAGGCCAAAGAAAAAAGAAAGAAAGAAAAGAGCGATTAGTGGGTGCTGATATAGAACCAGCGGCGAGCAGAGCACACCTCCAACGTTCTAAAGCCGACAACCATTCGATCAAGCGTCTAGCATTTGAGAGTACAGCTTGCAGCCAAAGCATACCTGTTTACCAGCCTCCCCGTCTCATTCTCTTCGAAGAAGCGCAACTTCTGATATACCATACATTCAAAGACATTCTTCCTCAGTGTCCGTGCGACTTGCTCACTAACAATATTCAGCTGCGACACGCGCACCGCAACAGCTGTGGATCCCACCCCCACTACGCCTAACATAGCCAGTATGATTTGCTGCGCCGTTTCAAAGGAGGGACCGTCGGGATTGGTGGCAGACACACTGTCAACTACCTGGCCCACCGCTGATGGGAAAGCGAGTGACGCCAGTGAGCTGACCAACACGGCTCCCATAGCAACCGCCATGCGATTCGTTTCCGGCCTCAACAGCTCGAATAGCGTGCGCATCGACACCTGTGGTGTGGCCCGCAGAAGCCTGTCTTCGTCGTCGAATTCACTCTCGACGCCCTCATCTTTGCTGCACAGGGAAAGTAGTGGATGACGCCCATTTGGGACCTTTGTATTGATTTTTCTAAATAGCAATAGGTATTTGTCCAGTTCCAATATGAATGGTCAAACTGTTTGCCTCACAATTGAAACATTTTTCCCCCATCCCATCAGGGCATGAAAAACTCGCTCAAACAACCCAGAACAACAAAAATATCTCTACCTGGCTAAACAGAATACAAACGAACATAAACGAATTCCTAGGATTACCATGGCGTACCTTGCAAAGGCACTTCCCGTCTCCAATATACCCTTCGGAACGAGTTTCTTTTTTTTGGCTTCTCCTTCCACCTTCTCCACTGCTTCGGTGACCCATTCATAAGAGCCGGGATAGGGCGCCGTTTTCCGCCTGATGGCGTTCGCTGCACGTATATGATGCTTTGCTTCACTATGTTTGATCTCGGGAACCATACCTTTCGTCATGCCATCGAATGCTGTTTCGAGTGCGGTCCTCCCACTAGTTTCAGGGAAGCAAATTGACAGTGATAAGTCCCAATACATTATATTATTGATATAGCACATTCCTGACAGCTAAATATTTCGGTACATGTAAAGAGTAACTGTCCCGAACTAACCGCGCCGATCAGGGATTCAATTCTTTTGATTGGCACTTCGCTCACAGTATGGAGTACAAAACCTGTAACCTCTCACTGGCCCCGGAGATATGTAATCGTGTTGCAAACTGATTGTATTCTCATGAACTCTCACCACAAAGTATTGTCTTGAAGTGGAGAGCCTTGCTCTGTCCAGAACCTGCCATAGAATCGGAAGATGTCCCAATTCCAAGGCAGTGGCTGTGATAAATATTTATATCAGCACTAGCTACGGAAACAACGAGTTGTATTAAGTCCAGCACTAGTGCCCCAACGAGCACAGATATACCATCAATTTCGAAAGAAAACAACCATCCCTTATTTTATCAACAGAGCTTGTTAAAAGGGCGGAGTCTTGCCCCCCATTGATATCATATTCTCTAATGAATAACAATCCTAACGCTCTCACAGAGATCACGAGCATGTGAAAGGGCCGTCTTCAGTCCCAAATCCTAGATATAATAACATACTTGGCGCGCATTTAAAAGAAAAACCTTAACCATACGGCAGGTGTGTACAACACTCATCTGTTGCCAAGATCTGCGACCTAGTGACAGTTGTATGCCAATGCCACCTAGCGACACAACGATCCCTTGAAAGGCCGAGTAGTAGAGAAGTAGGGTTCCTCGACCTTGATATCAATTTATCTTGCTCTAGCCGATAGAGAAAGCCTTGTGATCATTCATATAGCAAGCACTTGATATTGAATCAGTACGTCCGTGCTTGAGCGTGCAGATCGATTCGAATAGTTGCTTGTGCACACTTTCGCGAATACAGATAAACGCGTGGCCGTATCTGAGCATATATAGATCAAAACTGGACCGAATTCGCAAAATACACATACTTTACTACACTACAGCCCTAACGAGAACCACTCGTATAATAAACAATCCACACCCTCGCTTTCATATCGCGCGTATGCATGCCCGGTATGTATAGAAACCTATACTTACAATTATATGGTTGTAATTGAGTAATCGCATCAAAACATTTACAGAAGGTTTATTTGTATCAGATTGTGGGATATGCGTACGAATATATGAATGCAACTATCAAATCGTGTCAAATACATGTGTATTCGTATACGAATCAAACCTTCAGCGTGATTAGTTCCAACACAGTCCACATGTTCTTAATAGTCCAGAATATTTATACTATTATTTATCAAAAAGATATATGCTACAGAGCCGCGTATACAAAATCCTATGAAAACGCAGATAAAAACGTACGTCATTCGATATAGGAAAAGTACCGACTCAGTAGCCATTATATCAGGATGTATATATATATATACCTACATATACATATACATACAAATGTATATATACATATATATATATATATTTAAATACATACAAACATGCACACGTGTGTATCTATACACAATACAAATAAATAAACATATACATACAGACATACAAATACATACATACAAATATATATATATATTTATATGTAAATATATATACTATGACTTTCGACACATGAACATGTGCTTCAGTCAACAAATCAACAACCAAACGTAAGCACGAACATGAGCACTACAAAAACCAGTGATATATATATATATATATATATATATGTATAAAATACAATAATATATAATATATAAAGATGAGATAAGATAATATAGCAATGTATACACACATACATACAAACACACACACAAACATACACACACACACATATATATGCATATATACATACATATATATATGTGTGTGTATATACATACATACATACATACATGCAAACACACACACATATATATATATAGATTATATATATATATATGTATGCAAAAATACATACTTATATATATGTGTACATAAAAACATATTGGTGTGGGAGTTCCTGTTGATCTCTAAGTATGCGTGAAAGCGAATCCACAGACAACAAAGCAGACACAGAAACAGGTACATACACATGAACAAAACCAAACACACACACACGCACACACATATGTATATATATACACATTTTTATGCCTATATAAACATATACAAACACACACACGCACACATACACACACACACACATGTATATATATACACGTTTTTATGCCTATATAAACATATACAAACACACACACACACACACACATATATATATATATTCAAACTTGCATAGATATAGAGATATGTAAATATACACACATATATTATCATAGATATAGGCATATACATATATATATATGCATACATGCAAACATACTTATATACATACATACATACATATATATATATACATACACACATAATCACACCCACACACCCACACACACACACATATATATGTATGTATATACACTTACATATGCACACATATATACAAAGAAAACAGTGAACACACACATATATATATATGTATAAAAATTATAAATATATATATATGTAAATGTATTTTGCATATTCTTGTGAGTATTCTCGTCTTTGCCTGTGGGTATAAAGTCACAGCTATCAAATGTGAAGGGTAAGACATGTTCTGACAAATGATGAGTATTTGAAATGAACACCGACAATCGGTCGCACTGGGTCATATAAATAATATATACCTGTATACCATCGGACGATACCAGGAGTCCCTCTTCTTCCTATCTTTGCTTCCTGCATGCCCCTCGGTTGCTGCATCCGCTGAGCTGAGTAACGTGGACTTCAGAGGTATTGGTGCGGTCTGCGGCGGTGGTATACCGGCATATTTGCCCGAACTTCCTATAACCATTTCACCGGTTGATTTATATCGTTTACAGCTGGGCAAATTATTTCTGTACATTCGAGGATGAATGGTTCGCGCTTGCATGGTATGCAGGTAGGTCGAGTGAGAATGCGCAGAGCTCTTCATACTATTATCGGCCACTCCCTCCAATACTTTATGTCGACTTCGGGACTTCAGTGACTGCATAATCGAAGGATAACTTGTGCTGTGTACTTCCCTCGTGTATCTGAGTAGAATTTCACTATGTATAATTAGCCTTGATCTATGCCCTATATGCTGGCAGCACTGAAAAGTGCTTGAGTACATCATGGTCGCAGTATAGCAGTTAGTGACTATATCTATGCTTTGCACTCAGTGCAACGGGTCGTGGTATGTATCTATGCTGTACACTCAGTACATCCGGTAGTGGTCTCTATGTTACACACTTCTACCAACTACACGGTGCATTGATCATTCAAGTCATCTCTAATCACCATTTACACAGTTTCTTTATTCATATTCCAAAAATATCATATGATAATCTGTCCACAGTAAAATCGATTATTTTTAGGCCTGTGCTGTCAGTAGTCAGCTCCTAAAAATCCGCTGCACTGCCTGGCAGGAGTCCAATTTTTAACAGTTGAACGTAAACGCTCATTACTCCTATTTTAAAACGTTCATACGGGTCAAATGCATAGATGAAAAAAAAAAGAACGAATTAAATATCATTGTGAAAACTCTACTCGCTTTATTAGAGTGTAGACTAAATACTACAAACATAGTACCCTCTACATAGTAAATAACTCTACTACTGGTACTAGTAGTATTTAGTAGTCTCTACTGCTACTATGCAGAGGCTAGAGACTTGGATGTCGTGAGAAAGAGATAAAAACTTTGAGCCTCAGCCCTCAGGGCATATGATCTAATTAGCCTTCTTAAAATTGAGACTACGGGCCCCGAAAATGTATCCATTTTAAAAAATGACAACTATTAGGCCTAACGGTATAACCGTTCTACGTAAACTTCAGCATCCGTATACGTTAAAAAGCATAACGTATTGAGGCTATACTGTCAGGCGGTGCCAGCTGACTTGAGAGAGCATCGGCGGAACCATATTTCTATTTGTTTAAAAAAAAAATGAAAATAGAAGTTCTGATTGATCAGTCGGCGCTTTTTTTTTTGGTATGTACTGTTTTTGTTTCTATTGTTTTAGAAAAAAATACAAAAAGAATCTGAATCTATAGACTGTTTTGCATAGGACTAAGTAAATATATCACTAATTCACTATAGACTATTTAGAGAGGTAATGTAATATTTGACACCTCTAGTAAGTTCTATAATATTTTAGATACGGGGAATCCGCCGCAAATACACAATAAGTGCCTAAGCTACTAGGTTAAAGTGTTCATATCTATCCTACAGAGCATATATAAACAGGGATTATCCATAAGGGTAGCGACCACTACTACTATATCATATTATGAGGCTGACATCACCCTTCAATATCCTATCGTACAATTTGGGTTACACAACACAAAGTGTGTACCGAATAGAGAAAAGTTTACTGAACATACACTATTGCAAACGATTACGCGGTGCTGAAAGTGGCTACACTTGGAGGACGATACACACCAAACGGCCGTTAACTAGATCTATTCAAAGTACCCTCGTATATGGCACAATGACGTGCGTTGGGAGGAAGCGGGGGTACTCTAGCGTAGACCATGATAAAAACTCACTAGAGAACAGGCAGAGGAAAGACAGTTCTAATGCTGAATTACACAAGATTGTGGAGGCGTTGAATGCGGACGCCAATCTCACCAAACGATTATTCAAGTCACTTCGGACAGAAACCCAACAGGTATGTATATATATACTCGTATGTTCTTAGGA